GGAGAAAAACGTAAATTACGGCACAAGTAAATTAGATCTCGCTAAACAGGTTGGTTTATTATAACATTCCAATCCAATGTAAAACTCAAGAAGAAAAATGTACAAATGTAAACAAGTAAAACCGAACAGTGGACGTCAAAAACCTCAGTATATTATTGTTACGGCACTTTACCAGAACTTATCAATGGTAACTGGACTACCCGGAACTTTTATAGTTGGTGGGTGTGCATTCAAAATACCTTTAGACAATGTTCAAATAAAAAATTTTTCTACCAATTCACAAAAAAAGGTATCTAGTTCCTCCTGAAACAGCAGTAAAAATCTCAATGAATCCAAACGAAAGAATCTAAGAAGAAACCCACCGAAGACGAAAATATCATGCGTACCAACCATCTGTAAAAGTATCCATCCGTTGTTCAGACAGTTTTGAACTGTCATCCATATCGAAAAGACGCTAAGCGGAAAATATTGTTCTCGAACAACGTCAGAATGCCGTCCGCAGACAAATCACTAGCTGCTTCTTTGCTTCCTTTTCTTTTTTTATCCTTTGTTTCTTTTTTTTTTAGCTTCAGCAATAAGTAAATACCTGCTCGCTGTATAAAGTGTTTAGTTAAAATGACAGCACTAATCTTAAATCAAAGATCAGCTACACTACTGTTTTCACATGGAAAATTTTCCGCAAGGGAAAAGTCGGTTATGATGTTGGCAAATTGCCCTGTTGCCAGACAACCAAAATAATAATCTGCTCCTGCTGCCGATGATGCCTGATGCCGTTATAAGGCTAAAAGTGCGTGGTAAACTGATTGATGGAAGAGAGAGATTTTATTTCTTAATTTTTCGGCTTTTTCGTTTTTTTTTTTTTTTGGTTTATCTTAGTATAGCCAAAACATTTTTTAGCTGTAGTACAATGATAATTAATCGCTGTTGACAACCATCTTTTGTATGACACTGGTAGCCATATTTGGTTATTTTTTTTCGAAATTTTTTTTTAATTGCCAAAATAAGGATGGGTTAAAGGAGAAAAAAGGAAAATTAAGGGTAATACTGCACTTTTATATGCAATTGTCAGTAAGGTTATTATTATTCTTGCTTTTGAAACATTTAGCATTTGGATTATTTTAAGAAAAAGGGTTTTTACAAGAAAAATTTTTTTTCACATTTCTCTTCTTCAGTATTCGATAAGTTTATCTAGAAAAAATTACATTTGATTTTAAAGCCATAAAATTTCTGCGGCGCATTGGTAGTTTTTAGCCGGAGAAGAGAAAAAAAGAGGGAGAAAAGCTGAAGTGAAGAAACATACGTTTTGCAAAGATATCTGCAGTATATATATATATATATATATATATATATATATATA